ACAAAATGAAAGAGGGTGAAGCAGAACAGCTCAGAATCAAAGTTTCATCCTGCCTCAGCAATGCCAAACCACCACCTTCCAACATCAGTAGAGAGGACAGGGATGCACTCACCACTCTTAGCAAGGACAAAAACATCATCATTCTCCCAGTAGACAAAGGAAGGTGCACAGTGATTTTGAACCAGAAAGACTATCATGAGAAAGTTATGACACTTCTTAGTGACTTAAACACTTATGAACCTCTGAAAAGAAATCCAGGAAGTGGTTACAAGAAGAAGTTAATAGATTGCCTGAAAATTTTGGAGCAGGACAAGGCTATTGACCGTTTTCTGTACCACAGACTGTACCCAGGGGAGGCCACACCTAGTCTGTATGGTTTACCTAAAATCCACAAACAAGGTGTACCTTTAAGACCAATTGTTAGTATGATTAACTCTGTCACTTACAATGTTTCCAAATATCTGGCGTCTGTACTCATCCCTTTAGTTGGCAGCTCAGAACACCACATACAGAACACCATGGACTTTGTGGATAAGGTGAGGGATGTCATCATGGAGACTGATGAAACAATGGTCTCTTTTGATGTCACATCACTCTTTACGTGCATTCCTGTTGATGATGCAGTAGAGGTGGTCAGTTTAAAATTAAAATCAGACACCACTCTGAGCAGCAGGACCACGCTTTCCACAGAACAACTGTGTCAACTCTTGAAACTGTGCCTGCAATCAACCTACTTCACATATGGGGAGCAATATTATAGGTTGTCAGCAGCAAACTGGTTGATCCACTCTGAGAAGGTGCTATTTAAGAGACTGAGCTGAATACAGCACCTCAGACTGAGGAAGTCTCTCGGATGAGAGACGAAACGTTTCTACATTTTTTCGTTGATTTGCTTTGTTTTGTTTTTTGAATGTCCAGAAGACCAGATTGAACTTTTTTAGATTTTTCTACCTGGATTATTGAGCATGCATCAGGATAGTTAACCAATAGGTTAGATTGAAATGTAGTACATTTGTTGGGGCCCTGGGAACGTTATTTAAAGTTAGCTGTGCCAACAGCTTACAGGAGCTACAACTGACTGTTTATATTTAAGTTAATGGCTGTGCCTTCACTTAGCAGGGAATTATGACTTTACACTTTGTTTAACCAACAAAGAATTTAATTTGCTTCACACATAAAATAAAACAGAACAATGTTTTTAAATAACCAAAAAACAAACAAACAAACAAAAACAAGGTAAGGCTTTACAAACATAAAACTCAACCCCAAAATAACCCATTGCAGGCCTGAATCGATGCTTGGGAGCTAAAAACAAACAGCTCGTTCACTCACTCAGCAAATAAAAAGCATGTGCATTGGTTTAGTTTTGTACTCACAAATCCTTCAAAGTTTGAGACTGGATCGGGAAAAGGTAGATGTGAAGATCCCTTTAATATGGCACTGAGGTTTTTGCAGATCTGCCTAAAGATTTAGGGATGAACTGAATCACCATGCCATGGTGCACTATAATCACCAGTTCCTCTGTAGGATTTCCGCTTTGATCAAAGGTGAAATGTAAGACTGGTTTCTTTTCATGCTTTGATCTTCTGATTTTAGGTAAATAATTTTTCAGATTTGAGCTTGTCGAAGCTAAGTTCTCAACCACTGTTTCCTCAAACATATCATTCTCTGCTTCACTAGATATTACTTGTATCAGATCCTCATCTTATGATTGTTCATTTGATTGGATCAACACTGACTCACTCTCAGATAAATGAGGTTCTTCACTTGCTAACTCAGATTGATTTTCAGTAATTGGACATGTGGTTCTGACACCTGTTGTAGGTTTGCCCTTGTTCAGAGGGTGACAAGTATGTTCATAGTCAAACTCAGAATCTGATAAGGAAGAAGAATCAGACAGGTGATCTGTAGACCACTGCCTTCTTTTAAGCTGACGTTCAGAGTGACTCCTTGTGAGGGGGGGTTCTTAACCCTCTCAGAAGGTTCTTTCTGCTCAGGCATCCAAACCAGATAACCTATTGGTAGAAGATGATCTCTATGTAGTGTTTTGACACTTCCATTTCTGTCTTCTGGTCAAACTCTGTAAACAGGCGAGTTTGGTAGCTTTTTAAGAACAACATAGGGGGTAGGTTTCCAGCGATCTTGTAGTTTATGTTTTCCTGTCAGGCCAACTTTTCTAACTTAGACCCTGTCACCTTCCATTAATGCTTGATCTTTTACATGTTGATCATAATGAGCCTTCTTTCTGAGATGATTTTTGTTTGCTGTTTCAGTGGTCAGCTGATAGGCTTCCTGCAACTCTTTTTTTCATTTTCTCCACATACTGGAGATGAGCTGTTTCACCCTGTCCATCAAGAACAGTCCCAAAACAGATGTCAATAGGCAACCTCGACTCTCTCCCATACATTAAGAAATATGGAGAGTATCCTGTAGCATCGTTTTTAGTACAGTTGTACGCATGTACTAACTGGCTGATGTGCTGACTCCATTGCTGTTTCTTCACAGTTTCCAATGTACCGAGCATAGACAGTAAGGTCCTGTTAAAACGTTCTGGTTGCACATCACCCTGTGGGTGGTATGGTGAAGTGCGCGACTTACGGATTCCCAGCATGGAAAACCGCTCTTTGATCAGACGACTTTCAAAATCTCTGCCCTGATCTGAATGAATCCTTGTTGGTAGGCATGCACAAAATATTTGGCCCAAAGGACTTTGGCAATGGTGATGGCCTTCTGATCTTTGGTCAGAAATGGTTGTGCATATCTTGTAAAATTGTCTGTTACCACCAATACACTGTCAATGCCCTTTCTGTCTGGTTTTATCTGCAGAAAGTCAATACAGAAAAAAAAATCCTAGGGTTCATTACTGGTGATCTGGTTTCATGGTGCAGAATGCTGTGATAGAGCTTTACGGGAAACACATTGTCCGCAGGGTTTAATATTCTCCTCCACCTCAGTACTCATCCGAGGCTAGTAGAACCTGTCTTTGATTAGTTTAGATATTTTCTCAGCACCTAAGTGTCCGCACTCATCGTGTAGTGATCTTAGAACAAGGGTTCTGTATCTTTCAGGCAGTAGCAACTGCTTGATGGTAGTACTGTTCTGTGAATGTTTCTGTTGATACAGTAATCCATTTATTACTTGGAATTTTGGAACTTCACGCCAAAGCAAAGCCACATCTGATGGCTTGCTTTTAGAGGGAGACAATGTTCTCTCAGCTTCAATGGCTTGTTTTACTAGGCCAATTACTGGGTCAAGGTCTTGAGAAACCTTGAGTTCTTTGGGAGTCA